TTGGATCATCATTGTCGAATGCATGTCTACTAGTAGCGACAAGAAGGAAACGTCTGGTCTGATGCGTGGGTGGACAACACCGGAACTTCGATGCGTAAGTGTGGTCGAATGTGGGCAGTGGTGTCTGGCAATAAATTACTCTACCCTAATGAATTATATATCAGTCAATCTGAATGACTAGTGATTGAGCTGTCCTTTGTTGAACTCCTAATTTTAAATGTAGACCTTTTTGTGAGTATTAATTTTGTTTCCTTTTTCAATCTGATGCATAATTAATGTTCACTTCTATTGGGGCTGAAAAAAGAAAATTGTGAATTAGTCACACATGGCGTTGAAATGCTGACGAATTAATCATTGTAGGCGCGTTGATACCTCAATTCAAATTAGAGTTGAACGTAATGAGCCAGATAGACTGTAATATCAAGGGTTTATCCACTGGAATGCTTTGATTTGCTTTTACTTTTAGCCAGTACAATGGGGCAAGATTTGAGTCAGTTTGATTATCATTTGATTTTGTTGATAACTAAGCCATGCTTTTAAGGAAATTTTCCTTTGCAAAGCCCTTAATGAAACTGCACTTATGCTGAATAAGAACCAATCAATCAGCCAATCAGTGTAGCCAATCAACCTCAAGTACGAAACAGTTCTTCGTTTGGGGCGATCCTTGAAGCCTTCACGTTGTTTTGTCATCAGAAAATGGATTAAATGTTGATGAGATGCAATTGGTTGATCTAAAATTGCTCGACCAATACGGATCCTACTTCAACAGCTGATAACTCAATGCTATCGATTTTCCCCCACCGACGAGCGATCAGCTGTCCCCTAATCGATCGAAAAAGCTGATCGGGCAGTTTGGATTATCTAGTTTCTGATTGGTTGTTTAAGTTTTATCAGTGTGGTAGAAAATTTAACGAAGTGAGACAGAGATTCTTCGTAAAACTTTTTTTGGATTGATTACTACTTTATTAAAGCTTTAATGACAAGAAAATTCCAAACCTAGTAGGCGCCTCATTTGAGCCAAATGCAGAATTGCTAATTGTGATGAAAAAAGTGTTTAGTCTTACAATCACAGGTAATCACTGAGACATGCACAAATAATGCTTTAACGACTGCCGTAAATCACCTTCTTACGGTTAATGGATTAAGTCGTTTTCTGTGGTACTAGCCGCCCTCTCAGAGGTGAAAACAACCAAGAGTCGAAATTTCCCATCACTGCTAGAGCTTGTTGTCAAACAGGAATAGCATTGGAGACCGATTCTTATCCCGTTTTAGCAAAGGCAAGTGAAGCTTGACCTGCGGAAGACTGTTGTTATGGTTCTGCTGAGTTGAACGCAGCTTCACGTTTCTGCAAGACATGATAATATGGTGTGGAACTACGCACAAGGATTAAAGGTAAATATGGTTGTGTAAATCCAATCTACTTTTTTTAGATTAAAGTTTTAAAAAAAGTTGCCTTTTTACAAAGCAACGACAAACCACAATTTTGATTAATGTGTTTGTATTAATCATTCCTTCCCTGTTAGAGTTACTACAATTTATTTACGATCATGCGGCAATTTAGCCAGTTATCCCACCTTGGTAACTTTTCGAGTAGTTTAACAATAATAACACTTGAATGTCAGAAATATCCACCCCTTCTATTGTAGGCATTTTTAATTAAAAAAATTTGCACTCATGATCTTGCAGTCACCACAAGTTTAATGTAGTAAAGCATTTTTCGTCCTGTTCCTAACCCTGTTCTCGGTGCCTCCAGCGATTGTTCTAGTTTTGTCAGGCGGTACAGAAGTATTTATGGACAGGAGAAATCAATCACGAAGCAGAAACAAAGATTATCAACCGATTGCTTGATGTAAAGACGACTTTCTGCTACAATCTATTTGTCAACTGGATTACCAAGAGTTAAAGGGCAATTGTGCCATGGAGCCGGACGACGTTGTACAGTAGTTACACGAAGTCGCATTCTGCTTCCCTTTCTACATCGCCTTTTATTACCATTTCATCATCACTTGCTAAATGCTCGGAACTGATCGAATGCATTTTTAACATCGGAATGCGTTGGGTCATCGGACTGCATTAATCATTCACCGTTTTAATGTCAGAGCATTGTAGGCTGTTCTTTTTATGATTGCCTTTTACCAATTGGTCTCTGATGTCCCTCTGCTACTGCCCATCATTCCAACTTCGAGGATGAGGCAGCTGTTAGTCCTGTGGATTGTTCACAATGGATACCTTGACGCTATAGCAACCAGTCCATCTTTTGGAAAGCTTTAGCGAAGGTGTCAAATTATGGATATATAAGACGCATCCAACCCCGGTACTCCTAATGTACACCCCACACCCCTGAACTCCCTCCGGTGGCTTAATGGGACTCCTCTCTAGAAGTAACTGCATTATTGCTGTACATAGCGGGGGTGTAAGACTAAAAACGTCTGCGCATTAACATATTTAATTTAAAACGTACGATTTGGCTGTCAATTTCACCGATAAAACTGAACGACCCTCACAGACAGTGCCAATAAAAAAGATGACACCTGTGAGTCACAAGGTAAAAAAGAAAAGCAAACCACTTAGGCACCCCTTAGTCTAGACCGGTCGATGGACTGACTCATTTGGCAGTCTGATACCGGCACTGCACTGCCGTTACTGCTCGCACCATTGTCATCGTCGACTTTGGCATTGCTAACCTCTTTTTATTCTCTTATTTCACTTGCGTACCCTCTATTCACTCATATTCGCACCTTCCTCCCTCCATCAAACCATCGACACCGCGGCGAAGGCTAAAAATTGGGTTAGTTTTTTGGCAGAGATTAAATCTCTGCCTTTGCCCCTCTCCTCACATTCTCCCCATTCATCTCATTCACAATGCCAGGCGTAATCATGGGCCGTATTCCAGTACCTAGGTGGGATGTATATTTTTCCTATCTAGTGTGATATAGCTTAGGGTATTGCCAAGATACCTGGAAGTGTTGGGATTTCATGATTTGGCTTTAGCAATGGTGGTATAGAACTCTATCAGTCCTTCAGTCCTGCCGTATGATCTTAATAAATTTTCCTTATAACTCATACATCTCATTGCTTCTTCAGAGCTGACTCGAGTACCACACATTGATGGCGATACTAAGCGAGTCCTCCCCGAAGGAATCTTAATTCTAACAACTTTGTCCTCCGGTTGGTTTAGTCAGCGGACATTTGTAATAGCATAGACTTTTAACAACTGACCCCACCTCAAGCAGTTGAGTGGGACCACATCAGAACAAATCCAAGTAGCTTACGAGACGGGTTTATAAAAATCCTACCCCTAGGACTTCAAACCTCCCTGTATCACGATTTTAAATGAATATCTTAGGTTAAAGGTCATGCGACATTGCGATGGTAAGGGTAATAACGTGTTGATTAGACAGATAGGTAGATGAATGTCCGGTTGGC